ATATATGAGAGTGGTGCTCTGGGAGGCCACTGGATTTGGGAGAGTGGTGCTCAGATAGGCCACTGGGTTGGGTGAGTCTCCTCTAAGTCCTTAGCTAGTGTTGGAGCGGGGTATGAGGTCGAGGGTTATTCCCTTAACCAAGTACTCGGGAAGGTGCGTGGATCCTTGCGGATAGTCGGTGGGCGAACTCCACAATTGACTTGGTTAATGCATGCCAAGGTCGTGGTAAGCCCGTACCCAGCTGTGCTATACCTGACGGTGGATCTGGACTTCCAAGTGTGTAAGTGACATCATCCGAGTAAACCCGAGTGAGGATTATATATCCTGTTTAGCTGTGACCGAGCGGGCGCATTGGGCGTGAAAACGGTTGGGGTGGTTTCGGTAGGATGTAATGTCACTTATACAGCTCTATTATTATGGAGATCTCCTAGGTGTATGCGTGACGACGCATTAGATGATTGATATGCATTGATATCTGTCATGAGATGCATTTATTGCATGATTATTAATATGATGAAGTGTGGTGTTTGACTTCATGTTTGATGAATGAATGATTGACCGGCACTAAGGAATATTTTGGGATGACTGTACATATATGGTGCTATATTTTATATACAGAAACTTAATTATTTTGATCTTTATATTCATGCCTGTATGTATGTGTTATCCAGTTTAATATTCTCTTAGTTAACTAGTTGTAGTACGATTCCACTAAGTGACCGTGGCGGGTCGTTACACATAACACATGTCACATCCGTTAAGTATTTAAATAGAAGAAACGGAAGGTTAAACATCATTTTAAAGATATGAGACTAAATTGATTTAATTAATTAAAATAGGACTAAATTGACACTAATAAATAATATAAGAAACGAAAAGTATATTTTTGTCATTATTAAATTAGCACTTCTTGTATTTGTATGCTTTTATATATTCAAATAATATTTTATATGTTTTCTTTATTTAATGAAGTTATAATTAAAATATTGTTAATGAGAAGAATTTTTTTATTATTTTCTGTTTTATAAAATTATTATATTATAATTATATATTTATTTATGTGAGAGGTATCACACATTTCTTTACCTCTAAAAAAAATGTCCAGCAAAGATGCGTATTAGCATATTAGTAGAGGTGTTGAAGAGTCAACATTTGATGATTACGAGGAACATGATTCAAGTTGATTAAAGGAATAAATAATGAAGATTACTACATCCTCCAACCGAAAAATTCGAAACACGTTCAGAAAGTTTAAAATATCGCTTAAATATGTTTTTAGTCTCTCAAATTTAAGACAATTTTGTTTATGATCCTTCAAATTTAAAATTATTATTTTTAATTCCTGTAATTTTCAAAAATCTTGTTTTAGTCCTTTAGGTCACCAATAACATATTTGAAAGTGACTAATTAAGACAATTATGTAATATCAACTGAATTTAATGTGATATTTTTACTAATAGGAATACTAATAGGTAGATTTTATACAATAATATTTGATAAATTTCTTAAGAAAATTTGAATATAGAGACTAAAATAAATTTTTCTGAAATTACAGGGACTAAAATCAACAATTTTAAATTTGAGGGACCAAAAATAAATTTATCTTAAATTTGAGTGACTAAAACAGATGAGCACAGGTCGTTCCATAGGGAGAACGGGCCGTTCCGGATCAGAACGGACCGTTCTGGGCATGGATTTTGTGCGTGATCTGGTAGTTCAGAATGGGCCATTCTGGTATCGGTACAAGAAAATTTGAATATAGAGACTAAAATAAATTTTTCTGAAATTACAGGGACTAAAATCAACAATTTTAAATTTGAGGGACCAAAAATAAATTTATCTTAAATTTGAGTGACTAAAACCATATTTAAGCCTTAATATACTACTCATTCATCCAATCATCATCACAAACGACCATACAGTTCAACATAAAAACACAACTCCTTCATATAACTTAAAAGCATTTTTAATACAACAACAACAACAACAATATACAACTTAGTATTTAATGCATCGTCATGCATATACAACTAGAAGATCTCCAACAACTGAGGTTGAGCAGTCTAGGTGGCATAAACCCTACCGAATCTAGCGTTTGACCTATCTCAATCAGGTCAGGTATAGAACAGCGTTAGGAACTCCAAAGAGAACCAGGTATAGACAATAATAGTTGATTTCTCAGGTGTGCCACTTAGACTCAGAGGTCCAATACTACTGCCAGGACAGAAGGGTTTGGGTATGAGTTTACCACGACCTTGGCTAGCATCACCAATCCACATGTGGAGTTAGCCCACCCACTGTCCTCCAAGTACCATGCACCCTCCAGTATCTAGTCAAAGACTACATCTCAAACTAGATACCTTACTCAAATTAGTCATTCAACCATGATATGGATCGACTATTTCCATGTCGCCCACACAGTACTAAGGGATTCAACTTTAAAATAACTTTCAACTTATCACCTTAGTACTATGTATCTCAACATAGAACATATATCTTCATCATATGTCCCCAACTTTCTAACTTTACAACAGTAGTCATCTTAACAACTTCACAACAATAGACAACTTACAACTTTACAACAATAAATAACTTACAACTTTAAACAACTTACAATAATACAACTATAGACATCTTACAACAAGAGACAACTTACAACTTTAAACAACTTTTACATCAATAAACTACTTCAACTTATACATCTCAACTTATTCATAATTCAACAATAAACAACATAAAAACAACTTAGTTTCACAACGTATAGCAACTTTAACAACATATCACATATTATCAACACACAACATATGAACAACTTAAGCCAACAACTACTCAATCCACACCCAACAACTTAATCATTTTCAAAGAAAGTAATGCATGAAGCTTCCCTAACTCTCCTAAAATTAAACTTCTACATTCTAACTTCCCTCACCTGAAGATTGGCTTTAAAAAGCCAAGAATCTGAGAAGAAGAAAAGAAGAAGAAATATCCTCCAAGCTTGACTCTTGAACTTCAATCCTCCAAAAACGAGCTTTCTAGTCTGAAATTCAAGAGAAGACAGAAGACATGAGTGGTCTAGAGGAGCAAAAGAATCATACATAGAAATTAGAGAGAGAAAGGAGCTCACAAACCCAGAGTCCTTCTCTCTAAAACCTCTCATTCTCCTCACTGCCCATAACCCCTAGTTATAAAACCATATTTAAGCCTTAAAATATTTATACTTTTTAATAAATATATTATAAAATAATTATTTAATTTAATATTTTATAATTTAAAATAATTTTTTAAAATTTCGAAAGAATTTTCGGAATACAATTCTCTTAGTTAACTAGTTGTAGTACGATTCCACTAAGTGACCGTGGCGGGTCGTTACACATAACACATGTCACATCCGTTAAGTATTTAAATAGAAGAAACGGAAGGTTAAACATCATTTTAAAGATATGAGACTAAATTGATTTAATTAATTAAAATAGGACTAAATTGACACTAATAAATAATATAAGAAACGAAAAGTATATTTTTGTCATTATTAAATTAGCACTTCTTGTATTTGTATGCTTTTATATATTCAAATAATATTTTATATGTTTTCTTTATTTAATGAAGTTATAATTAAAATATTGTTAATGAGAAGAATTTTTTTATTATTTTCTGTTTTATAAAATTATTATATTATAATTATATATTTATTTATGTGAGAGGTATCACACATTTCTTTACCTCTAAAAAAAATGTCCAGCAAAGATGCGTATTAGCATATTAGTAGAGGTGTTGAAGAGTCAACATTTGATGATTACGAGGAACATGATTCAAGTTGATTAAAGGAATAAATAATGAAGATTACTACATCCTCCAACCGAAAAATTCGAAACACGTTCAGAAAGTTTAAAATATCGCTTAAATATGTTTTTAGTCTCTCAAATTTAAGACAATTTTGTTTATGATCCTTCAAATTTAAAATTATTATTTTTAATTCCTGTAATTTTCAAAAATCTTGTTTTAGTCCTTTAGGTCACCAATAACATATTTGAAAGTGACTAATTAAGACAATTATGTAATATCAACTGAATTTAATGTGATATTTTTACTAATAGGAATACTAATAGGTAGATTTTATACAATAATATTTGATAAATTTCTTAAGAAAATTTGAATATAGAGACTAAAATAAATTTTTCTGAAATTACAGGGACTAAAATCAACAATTTTAAATTTGAGGGACCAAAAATAAATTTATCTTAAATTTGAGTGACTAAAACCATATTTAAGCCTTAAAATATTTATACTTTTTAATAAATATATTATAAAATAATTATTTAATTTAATATTTTATAATTTAAAATAATTTTTTAAAATTTCGAAAGAATTTTCGGAATACAATTTGGAAGATCTAGAAATTTTCATATTTTGATAATGAAAGCGTAGACAAGGTCTTGGTAACTGCAAGGTGATTGAGGCAGTTGTCCTCCTATGCCCTAAATAATTTAAGATTTTAAAAAGAATTATATTCTTAAAAAATATTTACTATTAAAAAGAGTGTTAGTAATATATTATATATACACTATTACTAACATGTACATAAAATTAAATAAAAATTAAAATAAATTACACTTTTATCATTCAACAGATATAAGTATTAAATTATCTTTTTCTCTCATGTTAACATATTCAATTATATGATGCCATTTTATTCTTTTTTAAATTTTTCTGCTAATATTACTAAAACATTCTTTACGATAACATTTCTCAAATATATAAGTATTACATTTTTCTCTCCGTTAAATTTATGCTCTCTTAATAAAGATAAATGTATTACACTTTAATAATTTATTTTTTAATGTATATATTTAATTATTATTTTAAATTTAAAAATATTTTTTTTAATTATTATATTTACAAAACTTATTTTAAAATAATTAAATTAAAAATTATATATATATATATATGATAAATAAAATCAAACACAAGTATTAAAGTAGTATTTAATAGATGTTATCAATATTTTTTTTTATAAATATTTAAATAGACTTGTTCTTACCGGAGATCTGCTATAGAGATGATCCGCCAAGTAAGATCGGTGAGCCTCCTTC